TGTGGCTCAAGTGGTTGAGCGCTAGCCTTGAGCTGAAGAGCTGAGGTACAGTGCCCAGGCCCAGAGTTCAGGCCCCACAACCAGACCAAAAAAAAGAATAAAAAAAAAAAAAACCACAAAGTACACGTGGCCAGGCACATCTTCTCTCCTGAACAACTGAGTTGTTCACGCTGACTAGTGCTGCAGGCCAAGGGGCAGGGGAATTCTGATTGGCAGAGACAGAACGATAACTAGGATGCTGCTCCTGAAAGCCCTAAGTACTTCCTCCTCTTCTTTTTTTCTAAAAAGTCCAACTCAAGTGATTTTTAAAAATAGTTTATTTTCATACATTCTCATTCTCAGGAGAAGTAATAATAGCACCTGGATTTGTCACATGCAAAATCTCTAATGACATGGAGAAAATAGATATCTAAAGTGAGAAAAGACAGACTTACTAAATGCTTCTCTTTGTGCTAAAACATACCTAACTCTAAAGAAAGGCTTTAAATGAAAAGTAACTCATTGTGCTAATCCATGATTAGTGTTAAATCATTTGCAAATGATATCGTATGACTTGAGAAAAAAAAATTCCCTTTGGAGATTGAATTTGAAAAGGAAGGTGAAGCACTTTGTGACTGAAGACCACAAAAGCACTTCTGGAGTTCGGTTTAATTCTTCATATCTCTGCCTCCCTGAGCCAAAGAAAAAGAACCCATATGCCTCAAACCGTGTCCTGACACTACTCTCAGAACCCCATGGCTGAGCCCCCTAAGAGTCCATGTGCAATCCCATGTTTCACTGCAAGCTGTGGCCAGGGAGTGGATGGGAGACTGTCAGGAAAGTTGGGGTGAAAGAAAAACTCAAAACAAAGCACACAAACCAAAGAACACCTAACATGGACGCTGCAAAGGAGCTGAGACATCACTGAAGAAAAAAAATCCTGACCAAGGGGAAGTCCACGTTAGAAGCCATGGCCTACAGACGGGTGTGCTGAGGTATGTAAATGAAACCCCATACTCGCATATGATGTAAAACGAATGCTTACTAATAAAAACAGGCAGAATGTGAAATAAAAAGAAGGCATGATCCAGGCTAAGCCAAACAAACCAAACCTGTTTCAGATAGTAATGCAGATGAAAAGCTGAACAGTAACTGACAGCTGGTCAGACGGACAGCAGCATGTTTACATGTGAGCTTCAGGCTCCTCTGGGACCTTGCCATCCCTAGGATAAAGCTGCCTTTGCTCCAGCTTATTGGAGTGGGCTAGGGGGCCCACATCAGAACTGAATGACCCACTAGTTGCTGTAGGGGGAAAAAATCCCCAAATGGCCCTTCCTTTCCCAACTCAAGACAGAGGTGTAGCTGGACAGCAGAAGTTACCGTAGAGAAAGACTTTTCTGCACTTCCCTGGGTCTTTCACTAGGCCTTACTGTGAACAGGTCACCTCAAGCCGGGTGCTTTGTAAACTCAGCCTAGTGTCCTCCAGACCTGTGCCCCTGAAGGGCCATCTGAGGCTGGCTTCCAGACTGCACCATCGTCTTAGAGGAATTCTTCCTCTCTTATCACTCACGCCAAAGTAAAACTCAACAACTCAACTACGACTGGGAGCTGGAGGCTCATGTCCATACTCCTAGTTATTCGAGAGGCTGAGATCTGAAGATTGCGGTTTGAAGCCAGCCTGGGCAAAAATATCCCTGAAACTCTTATTCCAATTAACCAGCAAAGAGCAAGAAGTAGAGGTGTGGCTCAAGTGGTAGAGCATCAGACTTGAATAAAAAAGCTAAGGGAAAGCACAAGGACTGACTTTAAATTGCCAGTACCAGCACAAACAAACAAATGAAAAACCTGAGCTAAGTTGACCTTTCATGTCTTCAACTACCAAATAAAATATGAAAACTTATCATCAAAATACAGAGGATTAATGTCAATCGCTCCCCACCAACATAAATTTGCACCCACAAACAAGACCTATATAAAACCACTTGGCCAGAAAAAAAACATGGCAGCTTAGGAGACACCTGGATTTACTGCAGTTCTATGCTAAATGTTGGACACAGAGAAACCTTTATTGAAATAACAAAATTGAATGCAGGTAAATATTATGAATAAAGTAAATACTATGGGTGTTTATATAATGAATATTTAGATTTGTCACAGTTTAAAATCTGAATACTTCTTAAGTAGAAACTAGGTCTAGGGTCATAGTCCTAATCATTCTGATGTATTCGTAACATAAACAGGAAAAATAAAGAGGATGAAGGAATAAAAAGTCCTACGTGACTTTACAATTTCTTATCTTAGATCGACATTACCTTCCTTGTTCTAAATATCTAAACATATCATTTAGGAAAGTCACAAAGTATTTTGACTTTTCCTAAAGAACGGCTTTTCCAGTGTACACAGCACTGCTACTACATGAAAGCAACGCGCTCTGTGTCAGCATGCTGCAGATCCTATTCTGTATTTGCCAGATATATGCTTTGGAAAAGCCTGCTTTTATCACCTTGCTTTGGGTATGGTTTGTTAAAAAAACAATTTGATATAAAAGATCAAAATGAACTTTTTTTCTAGAAACTATTTGCCCTATGGCAAAAAAAAAGAATGGCCTAGACTCTCAAATATACTCTACAAATCTGTAAGTGCTTCTTTTCTGATAGTGTAAAGTGGCTGTAGTTGATTTGCACATTGATAGAGAAAACGTATATGAAGGAATAAAAAGAGGAAGAAAAAGCAGCAACCACAGTCCTAGAACTGAAAGGACCCAGGGAACGAGACTTGGCTCCCTTATTGTTCTTCCTGAATAATTTGCATCTGACCATCACACTGCCTTTTCTCTCCTACCCTCTCTGATTTCTCTTTTTCCAAATACCTGATTTGCCAACTTTTCTTCTACCTTGTCTAATAAGCCCGAAGCCACCTCAGCCAGATTTTCACGAGATTACAGAAGAGCTGTTCTAAGTAGGGGAGCAGCATGGTTGAGGCTAATGGAAGGACCAGAGGAAGCAGAGAGAGAGGGACATGGAAGGAGGGAGGCATTCCCCTGAACTCTGTTTATATCATTTGTATCAACCAGAAATGAATGGTCATCCTTACAACAGCAGCAAGGAGAAGGGGCCTCTCTGGGTGAAAAGTCATCTCCGCCTACACAAGGTAGCTCAAGACTGAGACCAGAGCATGGTCTCAGGTTTCGTAAGCAGATCACAAGAGTGCAGGTGAATGCTTTCCCTCCCACCTGCTAGTGAGAGGTCACTTGAGTTCCGCTGATAGTCTCACTTCTTGAGCTGCGATATTCTATTACTTTACATGTCCTGCAAGTCTTCACAAGAGCGGAGCACACAGAACTTCCTCTTCCATCCATGATCTTTTTCATCCAAACATCACTAGGAAGGAATTAACCATCTCAGAAACGTTTGTGTTCTACCTCGGCTCTCGATTTTTCTTTCTGAGACGCAGAACGTGAGAAAGCTCCAGGACAGGAAGGGAATGACAGATGGCTGAGCACTCCTAGGTGTGGCTCTGGCTTGAAGGATATTGGAGGACCTCAACAATGTCTCACTCGGAGTATACAAACTGATATTACCTGCTGGAGAAACTTGTCTGCTATACAGCTCAGAACAGTTGCACAACAGAACTCTGATGCAATGTCCCATGCGGAGTCACAGAGATGGAGCGAAGGGGACATCTTCCTGAGTGCGCAGGCCCGACCTGACATCAGTGTGACAGACTCCAAGCAGCAGCATCCGACCACCGCCAACCTCTGTGACAAGTGTGGTGGTACACACCCACAGTCCCAGAACTTAAGAGGCCTAGGCAAGGGGAATCACAGCCAGCCTGGGGTACCCAGAGGGACCCTGATGTTAAACCAATAGGCAAAACCACTTGCCTTTTCAGTTCTAAGGCCTTCTTACATAGCTTATCTCCCAGTGTGTGTCAAATGTGAATTCTAAAACATGATGCTTTTTCAAAAATCAATGCAGTGTGAATGTCAAAAAATCATTTGTCTCATGCGAAAGTCCAGCAAGCACTTTACCCACAACGGAATCCTTCCCGCATCTCACCGTCCTGCTCATCCCTCTTGCACGCTCTAACCACATCAACCCCACTCATCTCTTCCCGGGCCTAAGGGGACCGATCTCCCGCTGAGATGCGGTGCCACACTGCAAACGTGTGAAAACTGAACTCAGAAGATGGCCTCCCAAGTCCTTCCAGCCTCATGTTTCAGATTTCAAGGGTGGCTTGACACCAAACGCAACAGAGCAAAGGAAGAGCAAATGGCAAAATGGGAACCACAATCGCTTCTGCTGGGAAAGCTACCCAAGGGGGGGGGGGGAGAATCAACCAAATGACAGTCCTGTCAAACTGAACAGCGGGGAGAGCTGGCTGCCTTAGGAGAACCCTGGACGCGCTCGGGGGTCCGGAGAGACCCCCCTCCCCGCCGCCGGCCCTCCTCCCTGCCGCCGGCCCCCTCCCCAGCGCGCTGCAGTGCGCACGGCCGAGCGAACCAGCGCCTCATGAGGATTTGCTTCTGCAAAGCCTCACTTTTCGGCCCAATTCTTCCCCCACACACACACCGGATGGGCGGCCCGGAGCAAGAATCACTCCCGGAGCTTGGTCAAAGCAATGGGAGGCCCGGGGAGCCGAGGGACAGCTCCCGCAGGGTCCCGGGTCCTCTCCAGCCGTCTCCCCGCCTCTCTGCCCCCGTGCCCGGGGTACCGGCAGCCGGGGATGAGCGCAGGGGGGTTGCGGGGGGCGCCGGACAGGGAGCGCCGGCCCCGGCTGCACCTGATCGGCTGGATTCCCACCCGAGGCGCGAGCGGATGAGCGCGGGAGCCCGGGGAGAAGCGCTCGCCTCGAGTCGGGGTCGGGAAGGCCTTAACGTTCGGTGGGGAGGACCGGGCGCCTCCGCGCCGCCGCCACCGGCTCGGACCCCGAGCCCTAACAGCCGCGGGGCTGCCGGGGCAGCCCGGGGACCGGGGCCAGGCCGGGCGAGGACGGGGCGGGGCGGGGCGCGGCGCCGGTACCTGCGATGGACCAGGTCCAGCGGTAGAACTCCACCGTGTCGTTGAGCGCCGTGGACATCGCGCTGAGGACCCCGCCCGACTCCGAGTCCGGGAGCCCCATCGCGGCGGGCGGCGGGCGCACGGAGACCCCTCGGGTCGGTGACCGCGGAGGCCGAGGAGCGGCGGACGGCGGGCGGCGGCCTGCGGCGTCTCCTCCTCCTCCCGGCGCCGCGGCGGCCGGGGATGCGAAGGCGGCGGCCGGAGCGCGGGGCCGGAGGTGCGGCCCGGGTTCCCGGGAGACGAGGAAGATGAGGAGGAGGAGGAGGAGGACCCGCCGCGCGCGCCAGGCGCTGCACCACTGAGCCGCCCGCGCCGCCGCGGCTCCAATCTCCTCCGCCGGCGTCACGTGACTGCGCGCGGGGCGGGGGGGGGCGCAGGGGGGGCGGGGCGGGGAGGACGGCGGCGCGCCCCTCTTCCGCCTGCACGCGCGCGCGACGCCTCTCCACGGCGCGGGGATGCTGCACGCAGGCGCACTGCGGCCCACACCCCGCCCCCCCCCCCTCCCCCGACGGCCGGTCCTGCTGCCTGGGCCCCTCCTCCCGCCGCCCGGGCCCTGTCCTGCGCCCCCCCTCCCCCCGAGGAGGAGGACGAGGAGGCTCAGCCTCGCCGCGGGGGACCTGGCACCCCTCCCGGAGTCGCCCTGGGAAACCGATGAGGCAGTGGGCGAGGCGCCCGGGTGTCGTCACCCGCCCGCAGTCCCTGGCGGCCGGCCTCCCGCACCTGCACCGGCGCCGTCCGGCCCCCCGCGCGTGCCCGGGACCCCTGGGCTGCCGGGGCGCCGACGCTCGCCCGCCCCTGGTCGGTGGACACGGTCGACGTGCAGCCGATGGTCCCCAGATCCGAGTGTGCCAGCCCAGGGCCTCCGGGTTCTCCTGGCCCCGGAGGCAGCGCAGCGAACGGACCTTGGGCCTCGGAGATCAAGGACCGCCTCCTCCGGGAAGGAAAAGGACATTTTGGTTTTAATTTTTAAAAAAAAAATTGTAGCCAGACGCTGGTGGCTCACACTTAGTCTCCCGAGTGGAGGGGAGGCTGAGATCTGAGGATCGCGGTTCGAAGCCAGCCGGGGAAGGAAAGTCTGTGCGACTCTTATCTCCAGTAAAGTACCAAGAAAGCTGGATGAAAGTGGCGCTGTGGCCCAAGTGGTAGAGCGCCAGCCCTGAGCACACAGAGGCCCAGGGACAGCGCCCAGGCTCCGAGTTCAAACCCCAGGACCAGCAAAATAGATAAAAATAAGCATTGTTCTCTCCCAAAAACTGGGAGGCAATTAGGAGAGGTGACCCCTGAAAAGTAGCAAAAAGTATACTACCTCCAATTCATAATCTGATCGTTTCTGACACAAAGCTAAAGGCACTTTCATCTATTTCTAATATGCCGCCTACCTTTTTCTCTAAACTTTTCTCCACTGGCTGATATAGGATGTGTCATTTTCAAGGCTGCTGAGTCAAGTGTGTGGTTGCTTTAGCCCTTTGACATTGTGAAAGAAATCTAGAAGCTACCTCTTATCCTATTAGATTTCTTTTCCATTGACTGGTTATATGTTCTTTATGTTTTATATTGGGAGCATACTAAAACAATGACTTGTGGTCACTGGATGAAGCCCTAACCCAAGGCTATAAATAGTAATTATATATATATATATATATGATAATTATAACACACTACTTTCAGGGCATAACAAGGATTATTTAAGTGATTGAAAATCTAGGGAGAACAGATCCTTAAAAGTAACCAATTAATTGTATAACTCAATTAGACTTCTTGAAATACTTGTTCTTGTCATCAACCAATCAATATGTAATTTATTTGTCAAATATTTGTTTAAATAAATTAGTCAAGCCAGGCGCCGGCAGCTCACACCTGTTATCCTAGCTACTTGGAGGCTGAGATCTGAGCATTGAGATTCAAGACCAGCCTTGCTGGAAAGCCCATAAGGTTTTATCTCCATTAAACCACACACCAAAAAAAGCCTGAATTTGTGCTCTGGCTCAAGTGGTAACATGCTCCCTGAGCAAAGAAGCTCAGAGAAGCAACCAGGACCTGAAGTCAAGTGTTTTTCATTTGGAAATGGGATAACAATCTACTTTTTTTTTTCCCTTGGGCTGGTACTGGGGCTTGAACTCAAGGTGTCATGCACTCCTTTGCTTTGTTTTTGTTTTCCCCAAGCTAGCACTCTACCACCTGAGCCACACCTCCACTTCCATCTTTTTGCTGGTTAATTGGAAATAAAGGAGTACAGATTCATTTGTACATCGCTTACAAAACTATTTCTTATATATGTGGAATCCCAACTTAGGGAGAGCACATTGCTTTCAGTCACACATACAAACATCATAATACATAATACAACGTGAAATTGCGGGGAACAGCGCCTGGTTTCCCCTTGGCTTCTCTTCAACTGGAGGACAACCTAAGTTTTTTGTTCACTAGGGGGCGCAAGTCACATATCTTAAAAAATCAGACAAAACCAACATAATTTTGGAGAGGCAGGTGAACTTGGATCCTCGTGTCCACATTCTATCTCAAAAAGTACTATTGTATTTATTTATGAACGGTTCAAACACACACCAAGAAACAGCTGTGGAATTCACCCGACTCAGAAGCCCTCTTGCCTGGTATGAAGTCCAAAGTCTGAAATCAGTTCCCAAATGACTGACAAATACCAGTGACTGCCTAGAACCAAGAATCCCTTCTGTGCTTTGTTTATGTCTCTCATAGTGTTGGAAATGAACCACTAACAGGACAGAGTTGAGAGGTGAGAGCCATGGGAGATTTGGGTCCTGAGGACAGAGCCTTCATGAATGACTAATGCCGTTTATGAAGTTCTTAATGCTGTGTTTGAACTCAGGCATGAGTGGTGTCTTCCATTATAGATGGATGCAGCCAGCAAGCCATCTATTCACTAGACACATCTTGTAATTCCCAACTTCAGAACCGTAAGAAGTGAGTCCTTGTTCTCCAAAAATTATCCAATATTGTGTATTGCATTTTAGCAGCACAAAAACAGACAAGACAGAGGATTTGTATTGAGAATTGGTTGTTGGAACTGGGTCATGGGCAGAGGCTGGAGGAGTTTCAAGGAACAGACTAGAAAAAGCCAAGGTTTCCCTGAATACAGCATTTAAGGCAGTGCAGATGATAGTACAGAAAAGAAAACTGGGGGAAATCTGAGTCTCTTTAATAACATGGGTTTGCACTCAGCCTTGAACTTGCAGGAGCAATGAACCACATACACCAGCCCAGAGACTTCGTGTGCGCGCGCACACGCCAGTCCAGGGACTTGAACTCAGAGCCTGAGCCCTATCCCTGAGATTTTTTTGCTCAAGGCTAGCACACCACCCCTTGAGCCACAGCTCCACTTCTGGCTTATAGGTGGCTAATTGAAGCTAAAAGCCTCATGGACTTTCCTTCCTGGGCTGGCTTCTAACTTGGCTAAACTGGACCTTACTCAAGCATTTCAAGACAAGATTATGAGGAATGAGCTTAGACATATAGTAGAAGAAATTCATAAGCAAAATATTGAATGAGCTGCCCAGCTACTTTCAACCGCACAGAACAAGATATTGGAAACCTCTCCTCCATATGTCTCTTCCAACATTTCAGAGCTTAGGGAAGGCAACTGTGATTAAAACTTCTAAAAACCAAAATGAGCCAGGAGGATGCTAGTGCTTATGCCTATAACCCCAACTACTCTGGAGGCTGAGATCTGAGAATCACAGTTCAAAGCCAGGCCAGGCAGGAAAGTGTATGAAATTCTTATTTCCAATTAACCACCCAGAATCCAGAAGCGAAGCTGCGGGACAAGTGGTAGAGTACCACCGTTGAGCAAAAAAACTAAGGGACAGTGCCCAGGATCTGGTTTCAAGCCCCAAGACTGGCACAAATCAAAAATAAATATCAATAAATAAGGAAAATATAGCTAGAATGCTGTGGTCTGTGGCCATTTTTGCTGGGCTTCCAGAACCAAAGGGAATATATACTTCTTCTAGAAGAAGGTGTTTAGTGGTTCACACCTATAATCCCAAGTACTTGGGAGGTAGAGATCAGAATGGTTACCTGCTACCTAGGAAAAATAAGTTATTGAGACTCCTGTCACAATGAGTTGGACATGATGGTATGTGCCTGTAAACCTAGCTGCTTGGGAGGCAAAGGTAGGGAGATGCTGGTTCAAAGCCAGCCCTAAGCAAAAATATAACACCCTGCCTGAAAAACAAAACCAGTGACCAGGAGACTCTAGTGTAAAAACCTGTGTGGCAAGCATGTGACCTGTAGTAAAAATCCTCAAATTGCTAAAACGACATTTGCGAAAGTAAATATTCACAAAAACAAAGCTGAATTCTGCTCGAGCAAGAGTTGTGCCTATATATACAAAGCCAAGGACAACAACACATATGGGTGCTCCTGGCAGCAAATGGCACAAAAGCAGAATCATCTGGGGAAGTTGGAGCCATGAAAACAGTGGCATAATTTGGGTTAAATTGAGAAGTAACTTTGTCCAAAGCTGAGACCATTGGACAATAGAATTATGTGGTGCTGTGTCCCCAGGATTGAAAGGAATGCAAACTTAAGTAAAGGTGTATTTGTTCTCTTGGGGAGGGTTTGGAGCCATGGATCAAGTAGTAACAAACTTGCCTAACAAAGGTAAATTCAAACACCAATACAGCCAAGAAAGAAAAAGGAAAGAAAAAAATTTCCTCAGCCAGGTATGGTGAGATACACCTGTAATCCCAGCTCTTGAGAGCAAAAGGCAGGAAAATGGTTATGAGGTGGAGGCCAGTTTGTGTTACATAACAAGATGCTGTCTCAGAAACAAACCAAACATGTCAACAAACAAGCACACACCTTGGGTTCAATCCCCAGTAGTGTGCGTGAGTATGTGCATGGATGTGCTCACACACGTGCACACACGCACACACATACACACACACACACACACACACACACACACATGCACACACACACCTGCACATGGATGCTTATTGGAGTTTTATTCAAAATCTTCCCAAATCAGAAGTGGCCAAGATGTCCTCTGATAGGTGAATGGGTTAAGTGTTGCACATCATCAAT